CTTTCATATATTGCTTTTTTATTTCCCGGTTTTGTTAGAGAAAAATTCTTGCTAGATATGTGCTGCATAAACATGGCTCAAGTGAATACATTTTATAGAATAATGTTGAACTAAAGTGGATTTCATTAATAAGTAACAGCACATTAGGTGCTTTGTAGACCAAAATTACTCTGTGCTGGATTTTAATATAAATAATACCAAAATATGAAGGCGTGCATTTTATAGTTTATTAGTAAATTTCACTTATGAAAAATGTTCTCTCTCAAAAGCTGGTGTGTCATTTTCTGCTTAAAGTTGTTTAGTAACCCTGTAATTTTCGGGATAAAATTTAAATTCTTCAATCTAAGGTGTTAGGATTCCCCAGAGAAAGAGAACCAATAGTGAATATAGATTTAGATATAGATATGAATATAGATGTAGGTATAAATTTATTATAAGGAATTGGCTCATGTAATTATGGAGGCTTCCAGATCCCAAGACCTGCAGTCAGCAAGCTAGAGACCCAGGAGAGCGGATGGCAGAGTTCCAGTGGGAGTCTGAAGACCTCAGAACCAGGAGAGCCAGTGATGTCATTTCGATCCAAATGCCTGCGAGCTTGAGACCCAGGCAGAGCCGGTGTTTCAGTTTGAGTCCAAAGGCAGGAAAAACCCATTGTCCCAACACTTTAGTACCCTCTTCCTTGTGGGAGGGTTAATCTTAAACTTATTGGATGAGCCCCCCACACACACACATTACAAGGGCTATCTGCTTTACTGTGTCTACCAAATCAAGTGTTAATTTCCTTCTGAAATTTCTTTCAGACACCCCCAGAGTCCTGTGTGACACATGTCTGGGCATTCCATGGCTCAGTTACATTGACACATGCGATTGACCATCATACCCAGGAAGGAAGAGCCTCCATTATGCAGCTAGAACAGGACAGTTTACCCACAGATCCCCCTGTAACTCCTCCCTCCAGCCACTCGGAAGCTTGTTTTATTTCCTTAAAAGCATCTTGGCTGTTCATATCCATGTGTTTTCACAGATGTTTTTCCCTGTGTTTCAATGCGGTTACCCTTTTTTTAGTTTAAATCCCCCCAGAAGCAGACCCAAAAACAAGAATTCAAGTGGAAGACATTTATTTGGGAGATGACCCCAAGAATCACCAGCAGGAGAGTGGGAAAGAAGGACAGGAAAGGGAAGGAAGAGAGTAGGGCCTAATTATAAATGAAATTAACCATTGGCTCAAAGCCAGGGTTGGGATGGGGAGGGGAGGACTGTGGGAGAAGCTTCCAACTTAGCCCACTAGAGAAGGGAACTAGAGTACTTATATGCAAATCCTGGCAGTCCCTTGTGAAAGGCTGCCCTCTTGGGGGTGTTAATTCCCTGATACTTCTCCAGCAGTCTCCAGCAGCCCAGAGAAAGCCCTCAGGCAGAGGCCCCGGGGCTGGTGGCTGGAAGTTGGGCTGGCAAGCACCGAAATGTCAAGGAACAAGGGGGTATAGGTAGAGCACCCACATCTGCCCAGAACGCACTGCAGCCTTTCTTTCCTCCTAGCTAATTCTAACTCTCCCTTAAGGACTCAACGGAAGCCTCAGCTCTTCTGGAAATCTTTCATCGACCTTCTCTCTGACTTAGCTGTTTGTTGTCTGTTTCCCAGTAAAACCTCGGACTACTTGCCTCAGAGAATCTGTTACTTCCTCTTCTGACTGCTGCTTCCACTTCTTTGTGAGCTTTCTGAGGGACTAGGTTGTCAGCTCTATCTTCAAGGTCTTCCATAGTTCCGACATGTGGTGTTGGTCAGTAAATGGTTGTTTAAGTAGGGAAAGTAGTGATCATAACGACACCATTAACACTGATAGCCACTATTTATTGAATGCTCATTCCATGTAAGCACTTTGCATGTAGGATGTCTTACCAACTCTGGAAAGTTAGTACTTCTATTATCCCTATTTCTCGGATAAGAAAGCTGAGGTATAGGTTTACGTAATTTGCCCAAGACTGCACAGCTCCACGTGATTTGGCCTGGAAGCAAAACCCAAGCAGTCTGAATCCAGATCCTGAATATACTTTACCTGCCATATGGATAAATGAGTGAAATGGATGCATAAATGGATAATAACATCAAGTCTGATCCTTCCACACCTGGGGACATTCTAGGGATAATGCTATCAGTATAGTCTATAAAGTTCAAATATCAGCTCAATGTCACATTTTCCAAAAACCCTTCCCAGTAGCAGCTGTCTCTCCCCTGACACCCTTTTGTAAGTGCACTGACTCCTCTCTATTATATGTTCAGATGTATCTGCATGTCTTACTTTCCTTACTAATGATAAGTTTCTAGACACCTGTGTAACCTGGTATTTTCTATTTCCCCAGACATAAAGCCACACATACAAAAGGTTACCAATGAGTGCTTGCCACATGGACAAACAGATACACATAGTTGACAAGCAAAGGGATCTTTGACTCTTCCTTTATCTTTCCCTGGGAACTGTGGAGACTCTTTTTCATCCCTTTCTGAGATTCCAGAAAGTCTGTTGCCTTAGAGATGGTTCTAGGTATTTTCGATGGCTCTGAAAAATAAAATTTTGTTTAAATGGATTAAGGTCAGGGAAGAATCTGTGAAGAGTTTACTTTGTAACATTTTGATAAATCATTTGGTTAGAAAATTATATTTCTAAGAGAAAGATATTCTTTCTCCCAATATTCTATTCGTGGAAAAAGATGAAAGAAATAAGTTATATAGAAAATCACTAATTTTATAACAATTTGAATGGAAGAAAATTTACTTCTTCAAAAATTAACCATGGCCGGGGCGCCTGGGTGGCTCAGTGGGTTAAAGCCTCTGCCTTTGCCTCGGGTCATGATTCCAGGGTCCTGGGATCAAGCCCCATATCGGGCTCTCTGCTCAGCAGGGAGCCTGCTTCCCTTCCTCTCTGTCTGCCTCTCTGCCTACTTGTGATCTCTGTCTGTCAAATAAACAAAATCTTAAAAAAAAAAAAAAAAAATTAACCATGGCCATCAAGAATTACTTTCCTAAAACCTCAAATTAAATGCATTTTCCATTCCCGGTGACTGGTATATCTATAATCTTCTTTTATTATTAGCACTTTGAAGAGTGTCACATTGAATAAATTTAGCCAAGAAATTATTGGATGTAAAGCATATGTCCAAGAGGAAATTACAAATCCTTGCTGAGTCCTCATTGTTTGCAAATCATCATGTAGATCCATGTTGCCCTGGTATGTAAGAGATAGATAGGAAATATAAACACAGGAATTCTCCAATTTGACTTAAAAAATCAGAGAAAATTAAAAATTTTAATTCAGCAGAAATTTCTTCATGGATTTTAGTGTATAAAATTAATCACATTATGTACCAGGGAAAAAAAGGAACATAAGACAGTCTTGAACTTTGTAGAATTTATGATCTAGAGATGGGCATCTGCCAGGCAAATATGTTAAAAAGTAGACTCATGATTTGGTGGCAATAATAACTAATACATAAAGTTATATACAATATATAATATATAATATGTATAAATTTAATTAATTTATAATTTTATTTTTAAATTAAATTTATTTAATTTATAATTTATAAATTTATATAATAATATGTTTATATATTATATATAAATTTAAACATAAATATTTATATATTATATAATATATATTAATATTTCAGTAGGTGTCCTAATGCTTTATGTAATACTATCTCATTTAATCCTTGCAACAACTCTATGTAGGAGGTATTATTATCCCACTTTTCCATGGTCACATGCCTAATGAATGGGTGGTTGGAGGAGCTGTATGCAGACCTCAGCCCAAACGTCCTTAAAGTTGATACTCAGAAGGTGTTAAAAATAAGCTACAATGAAAAGAAGACCATTCACTCAAACTTGGATGGAGCAGATGTTATGGTGCCTCAGCTCGAAGGATGAGTGTGAACAGAGATGGAGAAAGGCATTGCTTCCAGGACTGAGGCAGGTAGTGGAAACTAACAGAGATCTTAGAAAACAGAATCGAGTGGTGCTTGAGTGAAGGTGGTAGCATGAGTGGAACAGAGGAGGGGAAACCGAGAAGAGTGGTTAGAGCAGGTACTGCTGGCCTTGAGTATGACCCCAAAGAGTCTAGACCTTTCTCATTAGGCAGACAGGAGTCACTGAACAGTTGTGAACTGGATCAGAGCTGTGTTTGAAGATTGATTTGGCAGTTATGTGTAAAAGGAGTTGGAAGAGCACATTAAGAAATCACCAACTAGGGAAGTCTGAATTTGAGTAGTAGTGATGTGAATACAGAGGAAAAAGAAAGAACACAGGATTCAGCATTGCCTGGATGTGAGCATCAGTGACCGAGAAGAGACGACTACACGTCAAAAGTTCAGAAAGCAACTATGTCACCCAGAGAAGAGAGGACGCATGGGTCCTTGCCCAATTACAGAGGGTTTCACTGGGATGAGGGGAGTCCAGTGGGAATGATAGGACTGGGGTGGGCTGGGGGAAGGGCACTTGAATTTGCTTGGTTAAAGATTTGGATTTGCAAGTATAGCAAACTAGCACTTTCCATGGTGCAGTGCAGGGATTGGACCCAGGTGTCAGCCTACACCCAAATAGCGAGCCCCACATTTCTAAATACTTGAGGTGACGGTGCATCCCTTTCATGGATGCAAAAAATGCAGCATTTAAAGTGTGTGATTTTTTTTTTTGTCCTTTTGAAATGACCAAAGTGACTGTGTGAAACTTTAAAAGCAAAACAAATTGTTGCATATATAGTTTTGTTAGACATATCTAACAATTTTTAAAAGGAAGCTTAAACCCTAGGTATTAAAATTGTGCTCTAATGTCTGTTTACATTACATTACACTGATTTAGCATAATAATATAAGACAATAGAAATGCATGGTCTACCAGGTTTCTGCTGAGTATTTTCTTGCCTTTGCATTTTTATTAGATTGGAGAATTCTGGGGTTTCTAGCTTTTGTATGAGCTTTTCTTTGTCTTTTCTCTTTTTTTTAAATAGATGATAATAATGAAGAAGAAGGTGTTGACATCAAAGAAGATTCAGGTATTAAATTTATGATTTTATTCATAGAGAATAGGCAAAGATCATTGTGTTGTTTATGTACGCCTCACATTTTTTTCAAAGAAAAACGTAACAAGGTTAATAAAATAGGTAAAGGGGATTAAGAGTACACTTATCCTGATGAGCACTGAGTACTGTAAGGAATTGTTGAATCACTATATTGTGCACCTGAAACCAACATAACCCTGCATGTTAGCTATACTGGCATGAAAAGACAAAAAAGAAAAAAATAGAAATGTACACTCAAGGTTATAAAATGAGAAAGTGGTTGTGCTAACTCTTGTGGCTTATACAATTAGCATATTTAAGCAGTAGACTTTCAGCTTTCTGAAAGCTGAGGTAAAAATGGAACCTGATGTTATAACGAATAGAGCTGTGTAGCAAATCACCCCAAAGCTTAGTGATTAAAGCATCTGCTTATCCTGCTCATATATTCGGTGGGTCAGGAATTCAGACAGAGCACAGCAGGGCTGACTTCATCCTGCTGCTCTACAAGGTCTGAGGCCTCATCAGGATGCCCCAGCGGCTGGGGGTGAGGGCTGGAATCCTGTGAAGATCTGTTCACTCTCATGTCTGGCCGGCGATTGATACTGGCTCTGGGGCTCTCGGCTGAGACCCTGGCTGGGGCAGTTTTCTGAAACATCTATGCATGGCCTCCTTCAATAACCTGGGCTTCCTCTCAGCATGGCAGCCAGGCTCCAAAGTGGTTTCTCTAGAGACAGCAAAGTGAGCCAGCAGGAGCTGTACCCTTTTTAAACCTCAGCCTCAGGAGTCCCACAGAATGACTTCCACAAAACTCTTTTTGGAACAGTCATTAAGAAGCCTGCCCAGGTTCATGGGGAGAGAAGATAGGCTCAGTCCCCTAATGGGGAGCAGTGAGGTTTTCGTCAAGTACATGGGACCTGAAGACTTGCTGTGGCCATCTTTGGTACATATATTTGGTACATAGGATTTATTTTTCTCACTATCAGAAATTAAGATGTGTGCCTACTCCTCAAGAAAGACCAGTGTTTGATGAGGGAAATCTAGTGGTTGCAAACATTGGATCTGGCCTAAGGGAGCCACTCGGTATGTGCTTATTAATGAATTCATGAAATCAATAGGCCTGAATTCAATCCCAGTTCCTCCATTTATGGACTTTAGGTAAAAGTTTTCTCTATAGGCCTTAGTTTATACCTCTGTGGTCAATAAATATTACCATATAGTCTTGTTTGGGAATTAAAGGAGATATACCTGAAATGTTTCTTGGATCTTCGTAAACATGAAATTATCACTTCTTTCTTTCTCCTCTAGATATTGGAAGGGTATAGAACTTAATTCCATAGTATAAGTACTCCATGTTCCCCATTTTGGCAACCACACTGTTCTAGGTATGAGATGGGGCCAGGTTTCAAAAATTAAAATCGATATTTCAGAGGTCCTAATTTTGTGTAACCTGCTATTCAATGCCAGAACTCCATCCATTAATCACCGACAACCTCAGTCTGAGCAGCTCCATTAACAGGGAGCAATTTAAATTCTGAGGTAAACGATCTCTGTTAGTCAAGGTTTGATTAAAATGGTCCTTTCTCCTGGTTAAATCTCTCTTCCTCCCCTGATCTCCCACTGTCTTCGTGGAAAGATACCAGCAGGTCTTTTCTTTGTAACAGCTTGCAGGAGCAACGATCATAACTCCTGTCTAGCTTTTAGCTTCTTCTCCGGTCCAAACATGCCTGAGTCCTATGGTTCCCTTGGTCTCCCCAGGGCAGTGGATTCAGAGGGCAGGAGAAGTCGAGGGAGGGTCTACAAGCCAGGAGCAGAAACAAAGGAGGTATTACTGCTGTAATAACATTTGTCAGTTCCCTGCCTGTATATCCATGGTACCCACCATTGCTTTACAGTATCCACAGCAGTCTAAGGAAAGTTCTTGTGACCCTCAGCTGAGCCTTGTTTGCTGGTCAGGAAAGCAAACTCAAAGTGCCAGGGGGTTAAGTTCTCTGGAGTAGTCCTCAGGAAACAATGGGCAAGAGTTGGGGGAACTGTGCAGTACAACTCTGAGGCAGGTTATGATTCAGTGCTGTCCAGTAGAAATAGGATGGGAGCCTCCTGCTTATCTTCAGATTTTCTAGTAATCACACGGGAAAAAGTAAAGAGAAACAAGTGAAATTAATTTAATACTATATTATGTAATATAAAATATCCAAAATAGTATCATTTCAACAACTAATCAATATATTATAGGAGCCTGATATTTTACATCCTCTTTTTTCCATTCTAAGTTTTTGAAGTGTGTGTGTGTGTGTGTGTGTGTGTGTTTTACATTCATGTCTCAATTCAGACTAGACACATTTCATGTATCCTTTGGCAAAGTGTGGTGTTGGACAACGAGATTTGATACCAACACCCAGAACTCCCCAGTGGAACTTGCTCACACCCAGTATCAGCTGCCTTCCCTTTCCTGTCTCCCTTCCCTACTCCCCTCTGGCACTTTCTGGAGTAATTTCTTTATTTTATTTTATTTTTTTTTTTTAGATTTTATTTATTTATTTGAGAGAGAGAGACCACAAGTAGGCAGAGAGGCAGGCACAGAGAGAGAGAGAGAGAGGGAAGCAGGCTCCCTGCCAAGCAGAGAGCCTGATGCGGGACTTGATCCCAGGACCCTGAGATCATGACCCAAGCCAAAGGCAGCAGCTTAACCCACTGAGCCACCCAGGTGCCCCTCTGGGGTAATTTCTTAAATGAAGCATTTGCTCTCTAATCCTGTCTCAGCGTCTTCTGAGAAAATCCAACCTGAGACAAGGACTCTGCTTTTTGTAAAACATAAAGCCCAAGGTGAAATTTCAATTAGAATATCCATTTCCATACTCATGAGGGATGTCTTATTGCTTAAAAGAACTGTAGGTTGAAAAAAAGACTTTAAGTAGTCACCCCATCTTGGATTAAATTTAATGTCAATTTCTTGTCTTCTCCTTTATCCTGCTCATGTGAAGTATCCTTGTAATATCCTTCAGCCATAGGGAGTACTGCCCTTTCAGCTGGCCACTTTAAGGACTTTATCTGGCTAAGGACCATTTGCCTAAGTGCCATAAGTACACATTTCTAGGCAGGGGGAGTTGACTTCTTAATGAGATGCAGCTAGCTCTCCCAACCACTGAGTGATTTTAAGAAAATCATTATTAATGCTAATGCTGAGCCCACAAGGTTTGAGTCAGCATATGAGGTTTGGGGCACTTTAATCGGATCATCAGTTCTGATTTTAGTCTCATCAGACTTCCTGGGGGTTTTGTGACCAGCAGCTGGATGCAGCTGTGGAAGTCACACTCGATGCCCCAAAGATGCTAAGTCACCAGGCCAGAATGGGCTTGCGAGGCTGATCTCCATTTTCTAAAATGGGAGTGCTGAAATCAAGGGTAATTCTGGGCACAATGGTTCCATGATGGGCCACTGGCCTTGCCAGATGTTGGTGAGGAGGCTGGCTTCAGTTCAGATCTCATCCTCGGGTGTCTTGGTCTCTAAGACAGGTCTCTAACCAGACCATTAAGAGCTGCCTTTCTTCCACCCTGTATCACCTCTTCTTCTCATACATGTAGAAATGCTGGAAGGATTTTTAAGAATGCAGCTAACATTAGTGAAAGGCTACTTGGGAGAAATAACTGGCCAATAAAAGCTGGTGAATGATAGTGAAAAATAATCTGAAGACCCAAAACCAGTAAGGTACTGCTAACCTGACTCTCTGGGTGCAGAGAAACCCAACTGGAGGGAGCCTGTATATTTCATTATTGTAAATACACCCATTGTGGTGGTGGTCAAGCTACCAAATATGAGGTCAATGAATGCGGGAGTTGGGGAGAGATAGGTGTAGTCAGCTGGCTCACGTCTGCCCCAGCAAGCGTCTGCTGAAGCAGATTTTAATCAACATGGACCTCATGCCAGTTGCTCCGCATACATGAACTCATTTAAGATATGCAACAAGTCTAGGAGCCAAGGATTGTTACTACACAAGGCTTGAGAGGAATTAGTTCCTGGCTTAAATAGGAGAGCTATAAGTGTGTCTGACCCCAAAGCTCACACCCCGTCTCTGACTCTAAAAGTAACTTAGAGGCAGGAGCTTCTCAGGTGGTGCGAGACAAGGTCATCCTCAAGGTGAAGCTCTGCCCCCACAGAGAATGACAGAGACAAACTGGCTTAAAATCTGAGGATTCCCTTTAAGTCCTTTATCAGTTTCTTTAATCCTAGCTTAGAAAATGTTTCCCCATGTCCTTCCATTCCAAGACCATGCATTGTTGAAATGGGCCCCAACCAGGGACAGAAAATCAACGGCCACCTAAGGCAGTTCAGCTACATGAGAGTGAGGAGCACAGTTGAGTTCTTTAGGTGACAAAGCTATGCTGAGAGCAACGCTCCAGGTCTCCACCCTCTGTCAGAAAGAGAGGCAACATAGATCATATGATATGCTGCCTAGGAGAAGTTTGGGTGCTTTGGAGGAATGTTCCTTCAGCTTCTCCAGGTCAAGAGGGAGAGTTGTTTCTACTGCCCCACAAGTAGAAATCTGGGCACAGAGGCCATGTGTTATCAGTGACTTTCATTTGAGTGCCTCCATGGGTGTTATGAAATGATACCAATGTCGTAGATGACTATTCATAATTAACATGTACCCATGCCTACTGACTACCCAAGGAGGGCCCTATCACTTTTTTAAAAAAATGAAGCACTAGTCCTTTCGGGGTACTTATCTCAAAATGTGGACAAAGAGAGACAAATAGATGTCTTTCAGAGATGTCTTATCCTTTCCCCAAGAATTCCTATTCAGGTTGGGAAATCAAGTTCATTATCAAAAACTCACTTTCAGGGGCGCCTGGGTGGCTCAGTGGGTTAAGGCCTCTGCCTTCTGCTCAGGTCATGATCCCAGGGTCCTGGGATCGAGCCCCACATCGGGCTCTCTGCTCAGCGGGGAGCCTGCTTCCTCCTCTCTCTCTGTCTGCCTCTCTGCCTACTTGTGATCT